GACTGACATTTTAATATCTGTGTCTTGCATAGTTCCCAGTAATTACTCACTCTTATATTTAATGTCTCATAGGGAAGTCCATTCCATGAGAAGAGGAGGAGACAGAAAACTTGGCTCTTCCTTTGACACATGGGGACAAAGACCTGGAGAGGTAAGTTAAATGTCCATGGTTACACAGTGATGAAGCCGAGACCAGGCATTGGGACAATGGTTGAGACCTGGGTGTGCAAATTTTTCTGCTTCGAGCCTGACCTGACCTGCAGTTCTGTCTTCAGATATTATACCTGGTACTCTCTCTGTCACTCACTGTTTCCTAACTCACTCCTCTGTGTCTGAGCAACCTGGACACACCTTGCCCCCTCTGGCCTCCTTACCATCCTTGCTATTTTCCTTATACGCTGCCTCCCATTTCTCTAACTTTTCAGACTCTACCAGGCTCAGGCCATAGCAGCCTCCTTGGTCTTTCTCAACCATGCCAAACGCCTGCCTTGGATGCTCTTTCCTCATGTACCCATGTGACCTGCTCCTTCTCCTCTCAGGTCTGTGCTTAGATGTTACTTCCTCTGGGAGGACTTTCTGAATATCATGTTAAGTTCTTTCTTCTTTAATTTTTTAAGATAAACTAAATGCATACTATAGATTTTCTTAAATCTTATATGTAATATGTATGCTGAATAGCGCATGAAGCCACAAGTCCTCCTCAAGCTGTTTCAGCTGAAGTTCCCACGCTGAGTTGTGGCTAACATGGACATCCTCATTGCTTGACCTTGCCTAATGGTTTTAGGACTAAATGACTAAGAAAGGAGACAACAGGGAGGGAAAGGAGGAGACACTCTCGCGCCACTTTGAGACTTCATTCTCAGTCCTGACCAAGTTCTACACTGGAGCACAATGTAGGCCTTTCCCCTTCAGAGAACACTGATTTTCTAACTCAAGTAGCTGGTTGCTTGCTACTCCTAAACAAGTGGGAATTTCCCAGCCAGCCCCTGACCCAGAAATCTGATAAACAAGCTGGGTGCATGGCTGTAATCCCAGCCCTCAGCCATTCAGGAGGCTGAGACAGGAGGACTTTGAGTTCAAACCCAGACTCAACAACTTAGTGAGGTTCTAAGAAACTTAGCAAGACCCTGACTCAAGATAAAAATGGCTGGGGTTATTATGACTAAGTGGTTAAGCACCCCTGGGTTCAATCACTGGTACAGGGGGGAAACAATCTGATAAACAGGTTCCTCAGCTTCTTGTAGGATGATACTTGAAACAATAGAATCTCAAAAGGATTATCTATAACCAGTTATAGACTACTTTTTCTATAACTCCAATATTGAAAAAAATACAGCTGGAGTTGTTCTGCATGATTTCATTAGCATAGTTGCTTTACAGGGAATCCGAACCTTGATTTAGTGATGTTTTGTCCTTCTCTCGACTTCAGTAGTTTACCATTCAAGCTCATGAACTTGCCAAGTGACATTAAGTTATATTGGGTCAAGTACCTTCTTTCTTCAGTCTTATTTCTTCTTCAGCAAAGATTGATCTCATGATCTCTAATGTCCTAGATAGATCTGCCATTTTGTGATTCCATAAAAGCTCCTTCTTAAAGAAGGATTAAGATATTAGTCATTCACCCTGATGACCTGTGAATCTAGGGCTTGAACCTAGATAGAGACTGAGAGGTGAAGGGGTTTTGAAGATCCTTATTCCCTGAGTGGGTTTAAAAAAATAAGGTAATAGGGCTTTTGTTAGCTGATTGAAAACAAATAAATGAGAACCTTTTACTGGGTACTAACATAGGACATTTGATATAGTGGTCATGCACATGTCATTTCATTCCATCTTTACATTAAAGCAGTGTATCCAAGTATATAACCACAGGCTGTGAAGTAAAACAGACCTGAGTTTAAGTTCTGAGTTCAAGTCCTGACTTTGTCATAAACTTGCTCTGTGATTTTGGGCAAATCACCATAAACCTACCAGTCTCAAGTTTATTCACCTGGAAAGATTTGGATTTGCCCCCAAGTTTTTTGAGAGGATTAAATGAAATAATGTTTGTGAAGGGGTCTATACAGTGTAACACACAAGGTAGCTATTTAACAATGGCAGCCACCTGCAATAGCAGAGATGCTTAATTCCTAAACAAAAACTCAGAATCAGTTTCTAAACCCATGTCCATTTTATGCCATATCTCCTTTTGCTAAATAGTGCTGCCTCAAAATACTTTACCTACTATACAGTTTTCTCTGCTAATTAGCAAAGGAGGGCTCAAGGTTCCCAGTTTTCATAGAAATTTGTTATATCCCTATCCATTTTTAGAGTCCCATTTCTTCCTCATCAATGCCATCACTTTAGTATACAACACACGATAAGATTGGAAATTCAAATTTTAAAAAAAAATTTTTTTAGTTGTATAGTTTTGGGACCTTTATTTTACTCATTTATTTTACATGCAATGCTGAGAATTGAACCCAGTGCCTCACACATGTGAGGCAAGTGCTCTACCACTGAGCCACAACCTCAGCCGGTGGAATTCAAATTTTATTATGTACAATTTAACTTTAAGATAGATTTCAAAAATCTTGACCTTACAAGTGTAGGTGTATTTTAGGGAAGTCATAGAGGCTTTGCAGTCCCTTAATTGGACACTGAACTAGGAATGTAAAGTCATGAGCTCATTATTTTCTTTGCTCAAGTTCCTCAACACTTAGAAGCAGTCAGCGAAACCCATTATACTCCTTATTTCCACTAAAATGTTCTCTGCAGCAGAAACTTGTTCCTCCAAAGCCTTGCTTTGCACAGGCACTTATTACAGGTATCTGGAGGTACTCTTCAGCTGTTTTGTTGCTGCAGATCATGGACCCCCAATATCTCCTTTATTATTAGAAATAAGGTCATTATTAAATCCACTCATATCAAAGAACCAATTGCAGACAGCACAGGGCCAATCCAGAGAATCTGTTCTAAAGTTCTGACCTCTGGAACCACTTTCAGTGCCAAATTCTTTAATTAGTATTCCATCAGAGGAGTGAGGATTTGACCCCAGGCAACTGTGGAAGCTCCTTACGTAGTCCATATGAGGCCACTGTTTTCGTCTGGGGTTGGGAAGGAAAGATGAATATACAAGCAGGGAGCTCAGAACAGACTGGCTCCTTTGTCATCTTCTCACCCATGTCCCAACTTGGAGGAGGGACTGTCAAACAACAAAGGCTGGTACCCTTCATTATGGAGTTAAACACAAACCAGATCCCAAATCTGGAGAAACAGAAGGAGCATCAGACAGGAGTTGCAGGTGCTGCAAACCCAGCTGCAGCCTCAGGGCAACCATAGAATATGACGATCTAAGTGAACTCAAAGAGTGTTTTGTGGATTGCTCCATATGCCCAAGTTTAAAAAGATGGCTGCTGTTCCACTTCTACCTTCTAAGTCACACACAAAACAACCTGTGTAGCCATGTTAACCAGGAACTATGCAGAAAAGTAATCTGTGGGAATCTGAGATCTGGCTCAGGTCACACAAACCCAGATTAAAGAAGAAATCTCACTGAAATAAAGTACTTGGAACCAAATAACAAAGAAAACACAATGCTATCAAAATTTGTGGGCAACAGCTACAGATGTACTTAGAGGGAATTTTGTAGTTTTAAATGCATATAAAAGATGGATGGCTGAATGGATAAATAAATAAATAAATAGTCTGAACCTCCATCTTAAGAAGCTAAGAAGAAAAAAAGCGCAACTTGAACACGAAGGAAGTAGAAGAAAAAGATAGGAGTAGAAATCAAATAAATTAAATATAATATAGAAAAATCACAAAGCACAACGTTGGTGTCTTGGTCTGTTTGTGCTGCTGTAATAAAATACCTGAAATTGATTAACTTATAAACAAACAACAGAAATCTCCTGCAGTTCATGAGACTGGGAAGACTAACTAAGGGCCTGGTCTCTGCTTCCAAAATGGTGCCTTGAATGCTTCATTCTTGGAGAGGCCAAATGCTATGTCCTCACATGGAAGAAAGGATGGAAAAGGAAAGGGGATACTTTTCTAAGTTTTTTTTTTTTTTTTTTTTTAATAATCTTATATCATTCTCAAGGGTGGAGGCCTCATGTTCTAAATCACTTTTTAAAAACCCCACTTAAGTTTCACATTTTCATTTTTGGGAAAAACATTCAGACCTTGGCAGTTGGTTTAAAAAAAATCAATAAAATTGATATTCTTTCAGTCTGATCATGTAAAACAGAAAGCACAATTCATTAATATAAGGAATTAAAAAGGAAATATCACTACAGATCCTACAAGCATTAAAATAGGGAATGTTCACAATTTATTACAATGAGATGAAAAACGTGTATCAAAACTAATAAAGAAATGAAAATATGGAGAGTCTTATAGCTATTAGAAACTGACTTCATTATCAAAAACCTTCCCACAAAGAAAACTCTGGGTTTACTTTGGGGCTGGCAAAGATTTCCCAGATGGGACAAAAGCTTAGTAACTAGAAAATTGATAGTAACTTAGAAAATTGATAATTTTTCTTATCAAAAGACATCATCAAGGAAATGAAAAGGTAAACCAGATTGGATGAAATTATTAAGGATTTCTAATAAATGTATCTGACAAAGAAATTGTGACAATATATAAGGAATTCTTATAAGCCAATAAGGGAAAGAAAAACCACATAATTTTTTAAATGGGCCAAAAGATCGAACAGATACATTGCAAAAGATGAAATATGAGAAAAGTTGCTTAAAATCATTAGTCACAGGAAAATGCAAATTTGACCATAATGGGACACTACTTCATACCTACTAGAAGGGCTTAAAAACAAAGACTGTTAGTGAAAATGTGGAGAAAATGAAATTCTAGTCATCAGTAGTGAGAATGTAAAATGGCACAACCACTTGGGAAAAGTTTAATAGTTTTTTAAATAAAATTAAACATACATCTACCTTGTGACTCCAGAATTTTCATGCTTACCAGAAAGAAATGAAAAGACAGATTCACACAATGACTTGCACACAAATGCTTATAGCAGCTTTATTCATAACTCCAGATTGGAAATAACAAACATCCATCAACAGATAACCACACAATGGAATACTATTCAGTAATAAAAAGGCACAAACTACAGATATATACAACAGCATGATTCTCAAAATATGGTAAGCTAAAGAAACTAAATATAAGAGTACACACAGTTTTAATCAATTTAAATGAAAAAACAGGAAAAATTAACTTCCAGTGATAGTAAGCAGATCAGTGGCTACCTAGGGCTGGGGTGAGATTGATAGCAGAGAGAAATGAAGCCTTTTCTGATGAAGAAAGTCTTCTCTATCTTGGTTGAGGTTGACATTAGTGTATACATTTGTTCAAGCTAGTTGAATGGCACTGTTAAAATGAGTACACTTAATTGTATGTAAATTACACCGCCATTAAGTTGACCAAAAAGAAGAACTATCTTGACGAATATCAGACAGAAATCAGTATAGTAGCTGTCTTAATATTTGAATGTGCACGGTTTCTAGTTTTTTGTTTGGTAGCACACGTCAGGAGGCCAAGTTTTCATCTAAACATATGGCTGAATAAAACTATCACCTTAAAATGGAGGAAAATGTAACAAACGATGTTAAAAGAAAGAGCTTGTGGTACAAAGACTTTGAAGTCAAGTGACTAACTTCTGATACCGTTATGCTATTTTGTGACTAAGTATGGTTGAGTAATGAAAAGATGTCAAGGTACTTAGAAAAATATGTCAAGTCCCCAAGTCTATCTTTAGGGGATTGAATCAAAATATTAAATCTCTTACCAAATGTTTAAGAAATATAACTAATGTGTAAATGGTAGTGAATGTTTAGAATTTGAAGGTTAAATTATGAATTAGTCATGAAATGAGAATGCCATTTTTTTAAAAATTGTTTTTAATGAACTTACAATTTAGTAAGATCTTCAAGTTGATCAAGATTTAAGGGAAAAAAATGTATGTATATTTTTGGTTGCACTGGGAATCAAACTCAGGGCCTCATGTACGCTAGGTAAGCACTCTACCACCCCAGCCCCAGAAAAAACTAAATTTTGCATGTATTTTTCTTTCCATACTGCCTTTACTGTAAAGCTGACATGTGATTTACATGCTTCCTTCCTTTCTTAAGAAATGTCTTCTTATTTTCAGGGAAGCTGCATTGCTTCTATTTTATCTTCACATCTTCTACACTAGCATTATGGTTTGAAGTAATGTGTTTTTAAAGTGAAATTACCTAGCATCAATAATCTAGATATTTTACCTCTTACAATGTCAATTTACAGTAAATACTGTATCAATTTTAACTTTACTTGTATGCTTTTCTGAGGCTCTTCTTTATTTCACTTCAATGTCTTTCACCCTCCAATGTGCATCTATCTAGGCATTTTCCCCTGCAATTTCTATTGAGAGCCTATCTGAGTTATAACAATAATCTGTATTTAGAAGGAAAAGCAATAAGCACAATTTACACATATAGTAACCTGAGTGCCTCTAACTTAATCTCATTAGGTAGGCAGTGTTTTCATCCATCTCAGATGGAGAAATCAAGGTCATGCAGTCCAGAAGTGGGAGGGCCAGGACTTACGCTTTCCCATTTGAATCCAAAATTCTTAGCAATAGTAACTCTGAGATGAAGTTCAATCATCCTCCTAGGTCTGCGCTTTCTTAATATGATCAAACAGAATCTCGAAGGATTCTTTTGTATCCAGAGCATCGTGCTTACAGCTGAGTATGCAGATTCATTTGACCTCCGAATCAGTACTTGTATTACTGATTCATATGTGGTCAGAATCTGGGGTACTGGTGGGTTTTGTCTGCTTCCAGGAGAAGGCTATTACTTCCAGGGGAAACAAAGGAGCCTTCCTTTGATGTAGGGACCGTCATTGACCCTGCTTACTTTACATTGCCCCTTTTGGCTCCCCCAGGGTACTTAACACTTGTCAGCTAATGAATAAATGAGAAACATTTTGTTGAGTAAAAAAGGAACTTCAGAACAGATTAAATATTTGCATGGAGTGCAGTGCTTAGTACATTTATGTGCCTCAAAGGGAACAACATTTTCACTTTTCATCAATAGATACAGCAAAGTATTCCTTGACTCTTGGGCATTTTGTGAGAATGGTTTAATGCAAAGATAACTCAGATACAGTCTCTACTTTCAAGTAATGTGTGGCCCAAAATAAGGTGCATGTGATAATAAAAGGTGAGAGGAAACAGAAAGTGCTGAAATAAGACTGCTAGTCAAGTGTTTTGGGTTTGAAGGTAGGAAGACAAGAAAAGAAAGTTCTTTCCCCTTGCCTTAATCATTTCTGGCTGCTTTAACAAAATAACTTTAGACTAGGTCACTTATAATTAGAAATTTATTTCACAGTTCTGGAGGCTGAGAAGTCCAAGATTAAGGTGCTGGGGTCGGCATCTGGCCGGGATGTGGTGTTGCTATGATGGTGCTTTGTTGCTGCATCCTCCAGCAGGGGACAAATATCGTGTCCTCACATCATTTGAGCAAAAGGGATGAAGAGTTCCCTCACACCTCTTTTAAAAGGTCAGTAATCCCACTCATGAAGGCAAGACCTTATCTCCTAAAGGCCCTACCTCTTAATATCATCATATTGGTGAGTAAGTATGAATTTTAGGGGACATGTTCAGATCCGTAGCACTCCTCAAGCTGGTTCATGTCTATGGATACCTTTTTTTATGCTCTTTCTGGCAATCTCATGATTTCAAATTTTCTACCTGGGTTAACCCCAAATCTCTCTCCTGAGTTTCTCCCAGACATCTTCTAAAACTAACCTACCTGTATGAATCAAAAGCTGAACTCACAATTCTCTCCCAACTCTGTCTCTTCTAGAAGATGGGAGGAAAAAGAAACATGAGAGGAGGGATAACAAGTAGGAGATTCACAGCATTTGACCTTACAGAGACAGGGAGGAAGATGAAGACTCAGAAAGTCTCCAGGCTTTTAAAATGTATTCTCACATCTCCAACCACTTTCCAGTTTCTCCCATAAAAGAAGAAAATGTAATCTTATTCTTTTCCCTTTCTGTCCTATAACTAGAAAAGATTTCAAAGTCAAGGAAAAAAAGGCTTTCACTTGCTATTCTTATAGAGAAGAATTTAGATACAACATTCTCTCAATTCCTCTAATAGAGAATAGGAGAATGTGGCATAGTGCATAAAAGTTAGAACTCCTCTTGCCATAAATCATAAATGATGTCCTTTCTTATCTACTAAGCAACACAGGAATAAAAAGCTAGAGGAAATTTTAACACTCATATTGGAGGTATGGAATTAAAGATGTTAAGACAGCCAGTGCACGGAGATACTTCTGAGTTCATTTGCCATTTTGACAACTTTATTTCCTCACAACGAGGGTTATAAACCACATGGATATGGCAAACCGGCTAAGTGTTCAAAAAACTGGCTTTCCCTTCCTCCCAGAAAATAGCTGCACATATTTCCACACGTCCCTTTCAGTGAGGTAACCACAGGACAGTTGTGTTCAAAGAATGTGGGCAGAAAGGATACACACCACTTGTAAGCCTGACCCAGAGAAATTGCCCATGAGCAAACATTTCCTTTCCCCCTCCCATGTGTCCCTTCAATAAAGAGGGCTCTACAGACTGAGAAAAAGCAAGCCACCAAGGAAGCTGCCCGCTGACCAGAAACATCCCATGGGACTTAACATGAGCAAGGAATAAACTCTGGAAAAGCTACTTTAGCTGGGTCTTAGTTTCCTCATGTCAAATACTCATGACCATGCCTGGTAAAGAAGAAAACTCAATTCATATTATCTGTCACTATTATTAGGAAACAAATGACTTCTTAATTTCCTTCTTTTTCTTGGGCAAGGTTCAGCACTGTGATGGGGTTGGGAATTAGTGAGAAGCACTCAGGTGATTATCTGTTATAAAATGCTAATTGGTACAGTGAAGTAACACAGCATTTTACCAATGTAACAATAAAAAACATTTTCTTCTGGATCCCAGGCATTAAATTTTATGACCGGTCTCTTACTAAAACACTCAAATCTAATAAAGATGTGAAATATCTCTCATTGACACTGAACATCTAGAATGTTGGAAAATAGCTTTAACAATCCACATCAACTCTGTGGTTTCAAATTGACACAAATTTTGCATAGAACATATTTTGTGCTATTACAATATTTAACTGATACAGTTTAATAACAGGATGATCAACTTTTATTGATTGATAAACAGTAGAATGCCTTTACAAAACATGTTTTTCCAATATATTTATGTTACAATACACACATTTTTTAATGAAAGTATTTGTTAAGCCTTTTTGCAGAGGCAATGGGGAAAAGTAGAGAAATAGGAGAATCAGATTTCAAAACAAATCTTCAGAAGAAGACCTAAATATTTGGCAATTACTTCCTTTTATAAACAATGATGGATTTGTAACTTTGAAACATATCAAAAGTGCAGTGCATAAATTTTATTTTAAAAAATCAGTAGTGCCAAATATATTACTTTGGCATCAAATTTCTCTAACTATATTCAGATTCCATTTTTTATACTTATTAAATAATGTTTTTAAATGAGAAGCATCAACATCTCTAGCTAAATAATCCCATATCTGGATTAAATCATGGTAGAATTGATTTTTTAAAAAATTTCCATTTATTTATTCATCAGTAAAATGGACTATTTGACAGTGTCCCAGAAAATGAGGCTCCTATGTATAGGAAGATAATCATTTTATTATACCTGCCATTAAATTATTGACATAGCTATCTAATATATCAAATTTTCTTTTTCACACTGACATTTCCACTTGCACAAAGTCCTATGAATATTCATTATCATACCAACACTGAAGACTTAACCATTCCTGGAACAAGGAACCATCTTTATATTAGTATTTTTTGGTTATGGTGCTTAGTCTTGGTATTATTAAGCACAATGAATTTTTCTTAATGAATACAGGTGGATTAAGGCAAAAGGATATAGCCTATTCCCCTTAGTAGTATATTTTCTATCTTATTTAGAATTGTTCTTTAGGCTAATCAAACTACAGATCTGCTGGCTGGAAAGACAAAAATTGACCCCTGGGCCAGCAGCTGGCATTTTAAGCATGAGACTCTAATCTTGATGGTCACACCATCTTTCCTTGACCTACTTTGTCACCATTCCTTAGCCGAATACACAATGCTGATTTTCAAATGATACCAATTGCTTGCTGTGTATCTTGGCTGTGTGTAGATTATTTTTCCTTATTAAAAATATTTAAGAATAATTGGGCAATAATTACTTAGTCTTTGTAAATTCTCCATTGCATAATTTTTCATTTTTACAACCATTTTCTGTAGGGCTGTTGCATTTTTCTTCTGCCATCTTTTTCACATAACTAAGTGGTCCTTTCCCCTCAAAGGAGGAAGGGTTTTTGAATGAACCTCCAATTCTATCCCAAAGTGTGAAGTACTGTCCATAGTTATAGTCAAAGAACATGTGGTGGTCTGTATGATGTGCTGAGCCATTAATAAATGGCTTTAAAATCTGGGGGACACGAAAATCACCATCATGAATGGAAATGGTCCAGATATTAACCAAGATGTACAAACCTAAGTAAACCACTTTGTGTAACGGAAAGATAAAAGGGTATATATGGTAAGGTAGACTCTGAAGGAAGCCATCCACTGGGTGAAAAGCATGACTTGCAAATGGAGTGGGGATCTTCCAAATGTGATGAGGTTTATGGATACGCTAAGGAAGAAAAGGACACCAATCAGCACCAAGAACTTCAACCCTGCCACAGTCAACTCAGCTTCTCACACTCACATTATAGAAATGATCTCACTAAAAAATCCCTTTGAAATTAGCAAAATACTTTATAAAAAGGCCTGCTTCTTTCTTTACCCCAAAACTAAAATTTTAAGACAGCCCTCATAAAGAAGGCTGTCTTAAAGTGAAACTCATAAAAAAAAATTAACAAAGTGTATCGGGTACTGGTTATGAGTATGGCTACTGAGGTATTAATACAGTGAGAGGAAATTCTTGGAAACAGAGAACAGAATTCATGATCATACATGCTGAAATGTGTAGTATTTTTTCTCTTTCCCCTTCCAATGACTCTACCTTGTATACAAGTCTATGATGAAGGCCTCTGTGAATCCAGTAGATCAGCATATCAGTGAAAAAGAGGAAGGAGATGACACTGACAATAAGGTGAAACCAACCTAGGAGAGATGGCAGGCACAGGAGAATCAAGATGCGCTCCTAGGACTAGAGTTCACTTTGTACCTGCTCACGTTGAGTGCAAAATGGGATCCTAGACTCAAATATTACAAACTCTTTCAGCTAACTTCATATGTTATCATCTCCCTTCACTCCCTGAAAGCTGGTCATTTCCTTATTTCCATCACATAAGAGCTTGAAATGTCTTACCTTTAATTGATATCTTTTTTTAAAGTTCTTTTTTTAAACTGATATACAACATAAAAATTGTACATATTAATTTCTTAATTAAACTATAAAGATATGTATCATGAAACAGAAAAGACATTCCTAAAGGCTGGTCACAGTGGCACCCATCTCTAATCCAAGCGGCTTGGGAGGCTGAGAATGGAGGATTACAAATTCAAGCAACTTAGTAAGACCCTGTCTTAAAATAAAAAATAAAAAGGACTGGGGATGTGGCTCAGTGGTTAAGTGCCCCTGGTTCAATCCCTAATACCCCCCACTCCCCCCAAAAAAGATATTCCTAAGACACTTTTATTTAAACCTGAGAATACTACTACTAATGCTACTTACCCATTTTCCTTCAGGTTAACCTATATAAAATACATCCTTATACAGTACTTCCCTGCTTAGAACTTTATTTTTACTAAATCCCTTAAATCTAGCATTTATTCCATAACCCGACCCTTTCTGATCTTTCCAACTTCGTCATTCCTCACCATTTGTGCACTTCTGCTGTAACCAGGCTGGTTTACTCCACTTCCTCCCAATGTCTTACCTCTATACCTTTATTCACAATGTCCACAAGTCTAGAATGCTCTCTATCCTTCTATTTTTGTTCACATTTGTATTTGTTTTTCAAGGCCCAGCCAATTCATCACCTTAGGGCATCATTTTTGTTGCCTCCTCTATATAACTATAATCGCTTACATTGACAGCAAGGCTCTGGTGCCAGCAAGCTTGAGTTCAAGTCTCAGGTCCATCTCCTCTTTATGAGTAACCTAGGCAAGTTACTGAAACTCTCTGTATCTAAATTACTCACCTATAAAAGGAGCTTAATAATAGTACCTATCTCAGAACTGTTGTAGAAAAAAATGGATTGATGCATGTGAAGAGCTGAGAACTGTCACTGGCACATATAAATGCTCAATAAATACTGTTATTCTTACTTTCTATATACTAGGTAACAGAAATTTATCTTTTTCTTTTATAATCACAGTGCTAGGGATTGAATCTAGGGCCTTGTACATACTAGGTAAGCACTTTACCACTGAACTACATCTCTAGTCCCAGAAAATGTATCTTTTTTTTTTTTTTAATTATTTTTCAGTTGTAGTTGGACCCAATACCTTTATTTTACTTATTTATTTTTATGTGGTGCTAAGGATCGAACCCAGGGTCTCACCTGTGCTAGGCAAGCGCTCTACCACTGAGCCATAACCCCAGCCCCCATCTAGTCCCAGAAATGTATCTTGATGAAATAATTTCAAAATTTCACAAAAGTTTAATCACATGAGACTGCTTGTAACAACAACTACAACAACAAAAAGTGACATTTAAAGGTCTAACAATTAGGGATCAACTAATAATGACGGACATCTATATAATTAAATATTATATTTATATACATTGATATGAAAATATGGCTATATTTATTAAGAGGAAAAATATCAGGGTGCAAACCAGTATGTGTTTTTACAATGTAAATAATGAAGCATACATGGGGCTGGGATTGTGGCTTAGCAGTAGAGCGCTCACCTAGCAACTGCGAGGCCCTGGGTTCAATCCTCAGCACCACATAAAAATAAATAAAAGTACTGTGTCCAACTACAACTAAAAAATTAAAATAATGCGCATACAGAGCCAGGCATGGTGGCCTGTAATCCCAGTAGCTTGGCAGGCTGAGACAGAAGGATCACTAGACTCAAAGCCAGCCTCAGCAATAGCGAGGTGCTAAACAAGTCAGTGAGCCCGTCTCTAAATAAAATACAAAATAGGGCTGGGGATGTGGCTCAGTGGTTGAGTGCCCCTGATTTCAATCCCTGGTACAAAAAAAAAAAAAAAGAAGCATACAGAAAAGTGAGAGGATATATGTCAAAAGATTTTTAGTTTCTCAGTAGTAGCAGGATTCTTAAAAAAAATTCTTAAAAATCTGTATTTTTTGATTTTCAGTAACTTCCATGTACTACTTGAGTTACTTTTTTAGAAGTTTAAATTCAATAATGATAAGAGAAAACAGATGCAAGGGACTATCTCTGATCACTCCAGTCTTCCCCCAGGCACAATTTCATCTACAACAGACTTTTAAGTTGATAGATAAAATGAAAGAAATGCACATAAGTGTCAAGATGTGAATGCATGAAAACAAAAGTCAAAATAGAACAATCTAAAAGGAGGAAAAAAAGAGACAGTAATGGTTTTTTAAAGAAACCAACTTGTGTTCCTAACCCTCATCTTATTTACTTACCACTTGGAAACTCTCCTATGTTGTCATATAATTTGCTGTAACCTCTCAACTCTAGCAGGAACAATGCAACAGTGGGGATACTTATCCAGGGTAATGACTGGACAGTGAACTTAATCTCTCGATACACTTGATTCTGAAAATGAAATTCCCAATACTTAAAAGTCACAAAATCTACATTCAACAAACTGACACAAAATTGTTTTGGGTTGGATTTTTAAACACTATTTTATATTAAGCGGCTTACCTCTAAACTGTTTCTATAAAACTTTTAATACATAGTAATAGATGCGTAAGAAAAACATTCCTTTTATCCTAAGCAGACACAGTAAATATCTTAAATTCTGAAACCTTTTCCCCTTCCCACAAAAATCTGTATTCAAATTTTATAGTTAGGGAATAATCATTTCTTTCATGATTGACCTCCATCCCCAACCCTTCCTATATATTAGAAAAAAAAATTAAGTGAAGTTATTGACAAATAACTGAAGTATAAAAATGATTATAAACAACTCTAAAATTATTTTGCCTCCCCTGACTAAAGAAAAACATGATAAAAACATATTTAAGTTTGTGAAAGCCCAATACTAAAATAATTACATAAATGAAGACATTTATTCATCAATATTAGCAAATCCTCATTTATGTATCAAGCAAGATAAGATACTAGGTTTATTGTTGAAAAATCAGATTCTCATGTTTGTTTAAATTAGGGAAGGAAGGGATTAACCCTCACAAAAAATATCTAACTTTTTTTGGAGGATGGTTTCAAAAACTTTATTTAAGGTTACATATACCCAGTTTAATCTGAAAAATCTTATCCATACACTATATTGTTATTTTTACTTTAACAGTAGCTAGAAAATAGGTAAGAAGGTCTCTTACCTTTAAAAACTGTGGATGCTTCATTAATGAATGATCATACACAAAATAATAGCTCAATGTGGCACAGAAGAAATAAAGGATATAAGCGCCAAGATTTGTCACAATTAGGAGACTAATAGTTTGTCGGAAGATGTCATCCTCTGGCCATGTGGCTGGATATACGTATGGTGTAAAAAAATAATAATCTGCGGCACTGAGAACAAGGTCCATCTTAGCCCCTAAAGGAAAATGTGCAAAATTACTTGGCATGTCTACATTTCAAAAAAACTATACAGGAAGTTCCCAATTTAAGGAAAACCATACATAATACAAGTCTGCTACTGTCGGCCTCCCCTAAAATGCCATCTTTAATGCTAGGAGGAAACTGAAATAGCAGCTCTAGTCCAACCTCTTTTCATATTCTACCCAGGGATACCAGCTAGAGAAACTGAGGCCCAGGAAGCTTTTTCTCTAAGGCGATCAAGCTGACAAATGGCAGCTCTAATTCTAGATCAGCTCTAATTTTACTTTCAGATTCTTTCCTACTACATACTACAGTAATGTAGCAAGTTAGAAAGATGGATACATAGGGTACTAGTACTCAAATGTGAGTCCTTTAGATACAATTTTCAGCTGCATCTCTCTGCTTCCAGGACTCAAATCTAAAGATTTTTATTTCAGTGCTGAGACCAAAAATAAATACCCTAAAAGGTTTCTATATTGCCACCACAACCATATAAATCAAAGACCACCTGTTCTTGTGACACAAGGAAAGAAACTCCCAATTACAGAACAGAGGGAGAAGTATTTTTGCTGTTAAGAACTAGATTACCATTTATTTCTCTCTCTTGTCAATAGTCTAGGTTAGGAATTGGCAAACAGTGGCCCAGGGGCCAAATCCGGTTCTGTTTTTTATTTAAACAATAACAAAATAAAGTTTTACTGGAATACAGGTATGTCTAGATATTTATATATCATCTATCATCCCTGACTACTTTTCTACTATAAGGAGGGTTGAGTAATTGCAACAGAGACAAGGCCAAAGATATTTACTCTATAGCCCTTTACAGAAAAAGTTTATCAACCCCTATTCTGGATTTTTATACTTGAGAAAAATTTTAGTCAATTCAGCAAATACTTAAGTGTACTCTCTACTCATGGTCCTATTATAATACCATAAAAGCAACATCATGGTCAACTCTTGTGATCTGACCATGGAACCTTTCATCTGGTACCCACTCACTCATTTTTCATTTTTTGGATATTTTCACATGCAATTAAAATCTAATGTAACAAAATAACAAAAAGTACCAGCAAGCGAAACAGTGCACTAAGACACAACAGGAACCTCAATCAGTTGGAGTCAGGAGTTGTCATCAAATGAGTGCTGAACCTAAAACAAAAACAAAACAACCTTTGTTTTTCAGAGCTTTTCAGACTTTGGAATTGTGATTAAGCCTGTATTGAGTAAAGTTCTACAAGCAGAAGAACTAAGCTGAGAAACATGCATTTGTGATCCTGGTACACTCTGCTTAAATTGCCTTCCATAGGGTTGTGCTACTCTGTAAATTCTTAAACAATGGAGAATGGTCCCTGCATCTCTTAAACTCACCATCAGAGGATATCTTCAAACTTTTGGATATTCATCAATTTAATAGGTAAGAATGACTACCTTAGTGTATATCTAATTTACCTTATTATGAGTGAGGCTAAGCATCATTTAACATATTTAGAGTAATTTACTTTATTTTAACTATAATCTGTATCCTGTACTCATTTTCTCACTGGGATTTTTATTCTCTTTGTAAAAATAAAATTTTAAAATTTTATTAGGGAGTTTAGCCTTTTGCTTATGATACAAATTGCAAACATTTCTTATTATTCTGTCAGGGAAAGAAAATTTTAATTAACAACAAATGCTAAACATTAACATATATCCATCACATATGCCACTGTTAATTCAAAAAAAGCAATTAAATGCCAAGCACTATACTAGGTAATGAGCAGAGGATAATTAAAAAGGTACGGTCAAAATCATTCTTAAAAGTAAGGCCAGGCACAGTGGTACATTCCTGTAATCCCAGCAGCTTGGGAGGCTGAGGCAGGAGGATTGCAAGTTAAAAGCCAGCCTCAGCAAAAGTAAGGCGCTAATCAACTCAGCGAAACCCTGTCTCTAAATAAAATACAAAGTAGGGCTGGGGATGTGGTCAGTGGTCAAGTGCCCCTGTGTTCAACCCCCAGTACCCCCCCAAAAAAGTAAGGCAAATGCAGAAACAAATTACACCAATAAGACAAGTTCTACAATAAAGTATATATCTATATATATGTGTATACATATAAATTATATGAAAGCAGAAAACACAACAATCTCCCTTGGCTCATATAATAAAAGGCTTCACAGTGAATGTGACATTAAATTTGGGCTTGAAAGATATCACCAGAAAGAAAAGATTGGGGAAGCCATTCCAAATAAATTTAACAATTGAAATGGTAGTAAGGGGCATGCTACATTCATGGCTCATTGGATGTGGTGGGTAGGTGTCAAACAGTGTGATAAGGGTGAAGCGGAAGGAAAAAGACATTATGGGATAAACCTAATGTCTGGTTGGTGTTAAACTAGGAAGAGATCTGTTACCACGCTAAGAAATTTGAACTTTCTCTGACACATAATGCGGAGGCCATGGTACAGAATTCTGAGGTGTAATCAGACCCATATTTCATAACGATCATTCCATTAGGAAAATGAAGTATTGATGAGAAGCAGAGAAATTCATTTGGTTGTTCCTGTGCTAGATTATCTGAGAAGATGACAGTACAGACTCAGATATGGTCATACTCAGAGATTTTAGCATGCAAAAAAAAAATCCAGAGGCTGGGCATGGTAGCACACACTTGTAATTGCAGATATTCAGGAGTCGGAGGCAAGAAAACTGCAAGTTTGAGGCCAGCCCAGGCAACTTAGCAAGACGCTGTCTCAAAGCAAGATTTAAAAAGAAAAGTGCTGGTGATGTAGCTCAGTGGTAGAACATTGCATAGCAAGTATGAGGCCCTAGATTCAACCTCCAGTATGGGGGAAGGGATCCATAGGAGATGGGTAACTCTGAGACACTGGTATGTGAAAGGGAAAAAATTCTAGGATATCTATAAAATTTTGACTTGCCAGGGTGGATAGTGGTGTCATTATAACACAAACAGTAAACACTGGAGAGCTAGTAGATTCAGGTAGGTAGGAATAGGGTTTGAGCAAGGAATGATGGGCTCAGTTTGGGTCTTAAATCTAATTGCCTGGGCTTCTAAATATAAGTAACAGGCCATGTTAAGTATGAACTGAGGTTCAAAAGTGAGCTGAGTATTTGTTAAGCAGTTAAAGTCATATGGGGTGAAGTCCTTCTAAGGAGACAGTACAGCAGAGGAAGTACACTAAATATTAACTGATACCAGGGAACTTGAAGAGGATATTGGTACACCACTAAAGGATGGTAAGACTTGATGCACTCAACCACATATTATATACAGATGCTCCTCAGGGTGATATGCCAATAAATCTATTGTAAGCTGAAAATGCATTTCACCCACCTAACCTACTCAGCTTCCCAGATTAGTGACACAACACACTGGAGAGGGCTGGCTGCTTCTCCTCACAGTGGCATGACCAACTGAGATCTGCAGCTCACAGCCACTGCCCAGCATTGCAACAGTACATTCTGTGTATCATGAACCAGGGAAAAAATCAAAATTTGAAGTTCAAAGAAAATTTCTACTAAAGGTAAATCATTCTCACACCATTCCAAAGCCGAAAAGTCCTAAGTTGATCCATCATTAAGTTGGGAACTACCTGTAGTGCCAATATCACTAATTCAGTTCAGTACTTGAAACAGTTTGGTGCAGTCAAAAAGAACTCAAACCCTATCTTCTTCATTCAATCTTAAAATTAATAACATATCAATTCTTAAGTTTAAAAATCTTTCATTTTGCTTTTACCTGAAGAACATGCCAAAAGGTTAATATGTAATTACCTGTACATGATTATTCTGACAATAAACCAGTGCCTGGGAGGAGGAATTGTCCCTGTCCACTTGGAGGCAGTTCGGATACTGTGAAGTTAAACCTACTTTAAGTGATTTTAGAATTTTGGTTTCAATCAATTCTGTTATTGACTGTGGTAAATAGGCATCTGCAAATACTTTGCTGTAATTTCTGAAATTTAACACACAAAATCTTCTGATGGTGAGATGATCTCAAAACAGCAATTAAATTTTGAAGTCAAATTATATTCCAACACATATCTGTAAAATGAAGATAACATATCTATGTTATAGAATTGTTCTAAGGTTTAGTGATTATGTAGTCTTTTTTTGGGGGGGGGGGGGGTACTGGGAATTGAACTCAGGGGCACTCAACCACTGAGCCACATCCCCAGCCCTATTTTGTATTTTATTTAGAGACAGGTCTCACTGAGTTGCTTATCACCTTGCTGTTGCTAAATCTGGCTTTGAACTATCAATCCTCCTGCCTCAGCTTTTGGAGCTGGTGGGATTACAGGTATGCACCACTGCGCCCGGCTATTACGCAGTCTTTTTTTTTTTTTTTTTAGTATTTTATTTTTTAGTTGTAGTTGGACACAATACCTTTATTTTATTTATTTTTATGTGGTGCTGAGAGGCAGGTAATTCTATAATCAATAAAAACTTAAAGAGAAGTTATAGTAATATAAACATAGATAACCTCCTAGGTGGTTTCGCCTAAAAACACGTGCTATGTGAGTGCTCTACCATTGAGCCACAACCACAGCCCTATTATGTAGTCTTCTGATACCACCTGACACTTGGTAAGTACTCAACAAACGGGAGTCATGACTGTTATGAGACAAAGCTGAGTCAAAATTAATTTAACATACATAGAAAAAGGTGCCATTTGACTTTTCTTTGAAAAATAATAATAGCTAATGTTAACATTTACTATATACTAAGTACTATAAATGTTACATGTATTATTCAACCTTTTAAGAAACCCCAAGAGTTAGGTACTAGTATTATTCTTATTTTACAGATGAAGAATTTGGGCAGAGAAAATTCAAGTACCCTGCCCAAGATCACAGAGTAAATAAATGCTGTAGCTAGGATTCAAACACATGCAGTCTGATTACAAAGTCCAAAGTCCATGGGGGCTGGGGTTGTGGCTCAGTGGTAGAGCACTTGCCTAGCACCTGTGAGGGACTGGGTTCAATACTCAGTACCATATAAAAATAAATAATTAAATAAAGATATTGTGTCCATCTTTAACTAAAAAACAAAAGTCTTATTAGCTCTTTCTTCACCAGGATACCAACTCTTTAATTCCTTATATTTTTAAAATCCTCAGTAACTACAAGCTCATATAATTTTAAAGGGTTATACCCTCTGAAGTCAGGGACTTCACTTAAGTACCACTCCTTGAAATACAAATTTTTGTTAAGTATTATTTTGCCTTTGCAGAAACAAACAAAACTCCTTTTCTTAAAACACAATTATCAATAAAACCCTATTAGGCCTAGAATAACTGAGTGTATTATTACCTTTTTGCTTAACTTTTAAAATATTGGTAAAATAGCTAACATGTATTGAGACCCAGATATTATTTTAAGTACTTTTTTTTTTTTTGGTATAACCTCATCTAATTTTCACAATTCTATGGGGCAGGTAATTCTATAATCTCCACTTTATAGACAGGAAATTGAGGTCAGGAATACTTAAATACCTTGTTCAGTAATAAGTAGCAGCTATGATGCACATTCCATAGCCTAGTCTCTTAAGATGTTATAGATGTAGATGGGGGGTTCTGGGTACTACTCCACGCTAATTATATAACTTAACAGAAAAATACTCTATAAATGATGGGGCCATGTATTTATTATTTATTAGGTTTTATCACTAGAAACTTAAAGAGAAGTTATAGTAATATAAACATAGGTAACCTCCTAGGTGGTTTCGCCTAAAAACACCAGACTGCTACAAACTTTCCAGTTTGGTAACTTTCTCTGCAGAGGCAATGTTTTCCTCACCCATTCCACCTCCAAATTTACTCTGCAGTAAACAAAGGGATGCCAGTATACAAGACTTTTTACCATGCTAAAGTAACAGATTATGGAGTTCCCTTTCCTGTTCCCTTTTAATCTTCTCCACTTGGAGATGTTGTCCCTGATCTGTTCCCTTCCAATAACTGATAGATAACGACCAGTTTTTCAGCCGAATTTTTTTGACCCTTAAAAAGAAAATCCTTCCAAGAACGAAGGGAAATTCATCGCAAAGTAAAGCCTTAGAGTTCAGTGGCCAGACGTCCCTGGACAAGAGATCCACAATAAGCAACATAAAACACTGCACATTCTTCAAAGGTCGACCTTTGTTTTCTTCACGTCAAACCTCCTCCTTTACCCTAAGATACCCTCTCCTCGGGGCACTCTGCCCTAGGTGTCAATCTGGCCGCCACCCTTCTGGACACCGGGCCCAGCGTGCTTCTGCTGGGCCCCGCTCTCACCCCAGCATCACCCTCACACCTCAGGTAAGGATGCCCAGCTACCTGCCAGTCTGTGCTACCGTCAGCTTCACCGCTGGGATCTCAGCAGCTGCCCAGTGCCTTCCATTTAGGGTCAACGCCTGCTTCGGGTCAAAGAAAAAGAAAGGTAGAGGCACACGTTCACTCTCCCCGACCCGGGCCTGGCTCGCAGGTTCTCGGCACCGCTCTTCTTCCTCCCGCCCCCGGCCCGCTCAGGTGTATGCCGCCTCCTTCCGCCGCGCACTTGTGACTACCTGGAGAGTCCACACTGCTCCAGCCGCCGCCGCTTCCAGGATGCCGCGGCGGGCCAGCGTCGGTAAGCGGACTCTGACGGGAGGAGCGGAACCGAGCCCACGCGCCAGGCAGCAGAAGCGGCCAGCCAATCAGGGGCCGGCGCCATAAGCTGATATGACGGCGGATCGCGCGACTTGGCAGCGCGCAGCTTTCAGCGGTCACGTGGGCGCCGCGCGCCCGGCCACGCCCCCTCTCCTTCGGGTTGGTCCGGAGGGCGGTAACCGGAGTCCGTCCGGGGGGTCCATCTGGGGGTCGGAGGGTGGAGTTTCGGGTTTTGCGTGTGTTTGCTTTCTTGCTCTCCAACTGGCACTGAGTCGTGCCAAGCAGGTTTTCTGTGTTTATGAAAACATTCCGAAAAATCAGGTTCTGCTTTGAGGGGATATGGGTGACATTTCTTTTGAAGTGAACATCAGAGGCATTTTCCCAGAAGCCGGAACGAGGCTCAAACATCATTCAGTTGCTAATATTTTTCACCCTGGAGCGTGCCCTTTTATACAGCGTGGAATAGCTTGGAATCTGGCCGAACCGGTATACAGAGATGTTTAAATGCTGACAAGATGAGGATTAAAATAGAAGCTTTTCCATAGGTACAGATTGTTCAAAATTACAACAACTGTAGATCGAATTGGCTTTTATTGACGATTCATTAATCCGGGCAGCATAAGATTCTGTAAAATAGTAAGAACTCCCACCAGCTGAAGAGAAAAGATTGGCTAGATATGTAGAAGAGAGCAGAATTAAGGAACAAAAAGACTGGTTTCAAAATTGCTTTCCGAACAGGGTTGACACAGAGGACTTGTCCTGTTGTCTCAGGCAAATAGGGTCCCTTCTGATTGGTTGCTGATTTTGTTTTGTGGAGGTCTAGCCCATTTCAAAGGTCAGTTTGAATATGTGGCGCTTAGCACTAGTGACTCCATTGTGGTTTAGTCTGGTTTGCTGGAATCTGGTGCAGAATCTTAGTCCCCCAAAATAACCTTCCATAAATTTCATTGAACAAAGTAAAGCAAATCTTTAAATCTATAAAACATATAGACTCCCAGAGATGTGGTTTGATGTGTGAGGTATGTCGTTTTAATTTTTGTGGCTGTTAGCTTTTCCAAACGTGAATTGCAATGATTATGTTTACACATTCTTCTCCCTGGGAGTTGCAACTTTAGTGGCTCTCAAAGAAGTCTTCCAACTAGGCATTTCAGCATCATCTGGAAATTTGTTGGAAATGTAAATTCTCTGGGGTCACTCCAGCTCTAGATCAGAAATTCTGAGAAGACTCCTGTAAAATGTGTTTTTAACAAACTCTGAGTTATTCTGATGTTTGACGAACGTTTGAAAGCCACTGCTTTAGCAAACTTGACCAATCAGAACTGCTTAGTCAGTTTTGCTCCCTCCAAAGTGATAAATTGGAAATCCTGTATTGTAGGAGATAACCAAATGATACCGGTCTTGAAAACCAGGATGGGGTCCTCATTCTCTGGATGTTGAAGAGTAAACACTTGAGGCAAGAGTAGAGAGAATTTTATTTAAGAGATAGAACAGAGAGACTCCTCCAGAGAGGAGGAAACCCAGAGCTGGTACCCAGGGGAGTTGGGTTGTCTTGCTCCTTTATAGATTTTGGGTTTCCTTTCTTTTCATGCCTGCCTGACCAAAAGGCAGGAAAAGAACTATTCAAGGTGTGATTGCTTGTGTTGGAAAGTGTGATTCTTCCTCTCCCCTAGAGGTGTTAGCACCCAGTTGATGGTGAAGTGCTGTCTACCAATTTCTAATCTTTAATAATCAGCTACCTGTCCTTTGCCCTATCTCATAAATATGGGGAAGATAATTTCCACTTGCCTCCTACTTTTAAATCACATTTTTCTCCTTTATTTCTCTTCTTATTTCATATCACAAATTTTGAAATTAAGATTTTTACATTTATTTCTAGGGAAAAAAAACATGGTTTAAAGAACATTTACCTAGTATAGAACATCTACATTGGTGCCTGCTTTAGGATAAAGCCTGGTTAGGTTTGTCTTGAGTATCAAAGATTAGTAAGAAATATTTATTGTTGCTGGTGGTGGCACATGCCTGTAATTGCAGCTTAGGTTTGTCCATTAGGATTTTCCCCCCTCTGTTAAATGTTATGGAAGACATTGTTTTGGGTTTGAGCTCCTGCTACAAATCAAAATGGCATTCATGATAAGTGCCGAATAGTCAAACAGAAACTTTAAAGAAGCAGGTAAAGACAAACCAGTTTTTCCAAAAAAAGAGATTCACAGTAACCGTCAGAAAGAACTCCGTCAACCTGTTAGTAAAATTAGGTAATAATTCCTTCTACTTTAATCCTTCTAAAAGAAAAACCTGATTTTAACCAATCTGCTTTCTTCTATTGTTGTTTCCTTGTTCTCACTCATAAAAATCAGCTGTTCTGTCATGCCCAGGGAACATTCCTTCTGCTTATAGAATAAAATGCTGCCTGATTCTAGAATTGCATATAAAAACCCATTTGAAGTTTAAATATAACTTGTAAATTTGACTTCTGACATTCCCTGTACTTTAATTAATTTCACATTTGAAAATAATGTTTCTTTTGAACAACATTGAGTCTAGATTCCTGCATGGAAATAATTGCCTGTAGCAATGTTGGCTGCTCCTTTCAGATAGAGCTTGGGCCCTCCAGTTTAGTGTAACCACCAGAGCCCTCACTGTCCTCCCATCTAAATTATGTTACTTTCCTGGTTACCCTAGGCATTTGTGTGTTTTCCAACCCAGCATCTTGATATTGGGTGGGGCAGGAGCACCTTACATATGAAATAAATAACAGATACAAAGAATAAATGATAGAAAAGAAGGATTTTAAAGGGAAAAAAAGGTCCCAATTTGCCTTTGGAAAGATTTTTTTTTTTTCTGGTAGTCAAACATAGAACATTAGACTAAATAAAATTAAAATGTCATAGGTGATGTTTAAATAACTAAGGTAATATACATAAAAATAATTTTTAAATTGCACTGGGAAAGAGAACTATTACCAAAATGACAAAAACACGCTCCCACCCTTAATGAGCCATGGTTTGTGGGAGAAATGGACATGTACCAATAACTGTTGCTTATTACAAGGTCTGGAAATAATAACTGGTGGTATAAACTAAGAACACAAACAAATGGCTATTAATTCTGATGGGAGAAATCAAGGAAGGAACATAGTTTTGTCTTATAAAACTACTGGAATGAACACTTAAAATTTGCCTTGAGTATCAAAGATAATTAAGAAATATTTATTGTTGCTGGTGGTGGCACATGCCTGTAATTGCAGCTACTTGGGAGGCTGAGGCAGGACCCAGTTTGAGACCAGATTGAGCAATTTAGAGAGACCCTGTCTAAAATGAAATTTTTAAAAAGGCTGTGGATGTCCTTCAGTGATGAATGAAATCTCAAAAATGAGATGTTATAATCAAACTTCAAATATAAACACTTTGCAAAAGAAGAAATACAAATGGCCAACTAATATCTGAAAAAAATATGTTCAGCACAATTAATAATTAGAGACATGCAAATCAAAACTACACGGAGATTTCATATCATATCAGAAAGGCAGTAATTAAGAATACAAACAATAATAAAAGCTGGAGAAGATGTGGAAAAATGAACACTTTTACACTATTGGGATTGTAAATTAGGACAACCAATGCGGAAATGACTATGGAGGTTCCTCAAAGACTAAGCATGACGCCCCCAGCTATACCACTCCTTAGTGTTTATCCTAAAGAACTAAAGTCAGTATATTATAGTGATACCTGCATACCCATGTTTATAGCAGCAGAGTTCACAATATCCAAACTATGGAACCATTCTAGGTGTCCATCAACAGATGAATGGATAAATAAAATGTGGTATATATACACAATGGCATTTTTAAAATATTTATTTAATTGTAGTTGGACACTATACCTTTATTTTATTTATTTATATGGTGCTGAGTATCTAACCCAGGGCCTCACACATGTTAGGCATGTGCTCTACCGCTGAGCCACAACCCCAGTACCACAATGGCATTTTATTCAGCCATAAAGTAAAACGAGATTAATGTCATTTGCAGGAAAGTGTATGGAACATGAGAACATTATGTTAAGAAAAAAAAATATCTAACTCAGAAGGTCAAAAGTCATGTGTTTCTCTCATAAGTGGAAGTTAGAGGGGAAAAAGGAAAAGAAAGGTAAGGTGAGGAGTCTCATGAAAATCAAAGTAGAATCGAGGAAAAAGACCAGGAGGTGAGAGGAGGGGAAGGAGTGGGGAAGTGCTGGGGAGAGATATTGGCCAAGATATATTGTTATGTTGTTTGCATGTGTGGATATGTAACAACAAATCTCACCATTATGTACAAATATAAGGCACCCCCCCAAAAAAAAGTGTGTGGGGGGGAGAAAACAAATTAAATATAATGTCCCTATTTGTTGCAAGTGGTCTTTTATTCTTGGGGACTTCAGGCTTCCCAAGTTTTCAAAATGTGCAATCTTCTCCTGGCAACTGAAAATAGTAATAAATTAACCCCATGAAAACAAGTCTTTTTTTTTTTTTTTTTAATCAGTTTTGAATGTGTTAATGGTGCATCCTAGGATGCAGCATTCCTACATGCTTTTCCAGGTACAGTAGTCAAATAATTTATTTATTCATTATTTGCAAAGTTCTGTACCAGGCAGTAAGTGTCAAGGAATTCAGGGATAAGCCACAATGCCTGCCTACCTTTCTGGCTCAAATCTATATGTGGGAGGCTGGGGGTGTGGCTCAGTGGTAGAGCCCTTGCCTAGCATGTGTGAGGCACTGGGTTCAATTCCTGGCACCGCATAAAAATAAATAAATAAAATAAAGGTATTGTGTTTATCTACAACTAAAAAAAATATTTAAAAAAATTTTTTTTAAAAATCTATACATGGGAAGAGGTCATTTAATTATTA